ACTGCTCGCCTCCGGCCGCAGCAGGCGGCGGTGCTGGGCGGCTTCCGCCAGCCCATCGGCCAGGCGCAGCGCCAGCAGCCGCAGCTGCGCGGGCAGGGCCTCGGACAGCGGCCACGCAGCGCGGGGTTTGATGTTTGAAAAACGTTTTGCGGAGTTGCTTTGTGTTGCTGTCTTGTGCTCTCTTCTGGTTGTTGTTTGGGGGTTCTGCGTTTTTTTGGTTTGTGTTGTTTGTTGCGGGTGTCCTCTTAGTCTTCTTTGATGCTGTCTTTTCTCCTCAAGTGGGCTTCAATTCCAGGGGCAAGAGGGAGGGAAGATGTGCGAGGATTGGTTTGAAGTCTCCAAACTCCCCAATTCTAGGGGCCCTAATTCACGCGACTCCCCAAATAAATCCTGTTGAAGGCACCCGCATGCATGAAACCGAGGGGCACGAAAGGAACCTAGTGGAATCTGGGAACGTGCAGGGACCATCCGTGAAAGGTGCTCCGTTCTGCAAAAAGCAGTGGCTTCAAACGAAGGCACTCCTATCGATTCAACTGGCAACTCCTGGACAACAAAGATGTCTTACTTTGATGAGGGGCGGCAGCGTCAGGGATGGTTGTGTGGTACAAGCCACTTGGTCCTCGCCGAATTGCCGTCGTTTGATCTCACATGTGCTTTGAGGGTCCAGGTTTGAGTGGCCGTTGTCTGGTGTCAGTGCATATCACTGGCGAAGCATGGATCAGGATTGCTTCAAGGACGTCCTTTGACCTGATACATGCGTGCAACCAAGGTATGTTCAGGCCCAAAAGCCACCTCAGTATGATGTTTGACTGTTTGGACCCGTTGCTGGACCGCATAAAGCAACATAGGCACCCACTTTTGAGGCGATTTTGAAATGCATTCCCGTAAGCGGAAGCCTTTCGCCTGGGTCCCTAACTTTGCGGGGTTCTCAACATGACCTGGACGCGGTTTCTCTTGAAACCATATTTCACCTTCGTCAATCTCTCATTCCTTGCATTTGGATAGTATCCAATAGCTTCAACAATTGAACAGCCTGTAATACTATGGCCATAATTGTTGTCACACACTTTTGAGAAACAAACGCATCTTGACACATCTGGCTCTGGGTCAAAACCCTGTACCCCTGGTGCACATCAAAATAGCTGGCAAATGGATGTTCATTGATTCATCCACCCCAAAATGGGATCGCCATAGGTTATGCAACCCATGGGTATCTGGGTGCAATCTGAAGCGGCCCCCGCCTCCAGCGCCTTCAGCGCCGCCTCGCCGAGGCCCTGGGGCCAGCGGTTGGGCGCCAGGGCCGCGGACCGGTCCCCCGCCGCGAGGCTCAGGCCCTCCTGGTGCCGGCGAGTCGAGCAGTGCTTGGTTGACGATTACGTTTGCTTGGAACAAAACAATAACAACCTCTTGTTCAGGATGTGCTGCATCCTGACTGATGTCGGTGAAACCAACGCTTGCGAGGAAGTGTTTTGTCCTCTGTGGACTTGTGGCTCCCGGGATGGTGGAACTACAACATGGTTGGTGGACACAAAACCCAATATGAGTCGGTTATGACATTCGGAAAAGCGTGTTCAACCATGTGTTTGATAGCAAGCAGGTTTGGACAGGTAGGTTGAACATGCAAGAACGCCGCGAAGAACTCTGACGCGGCGAAGAGTTTCCAAGCGGCGTTCAAACGGGGGAACTCCACCCAAAAGCATCACTGCGCCCAAAGGAAGCTCGCCTTAAACTAGCCAAAAGGCGAGGTTTGCCACCACCAAACGAGGACCTGTTGGCTGTTCGCTTGATAAACCCGAAAAGGTTGCCTTTAACAGTACTCCCCTGCGAACAGGCACCAAATAGAAAAGAGGGAGAGCTGAAAGCCACAAATCTCCAGACCAGGCAATGCTCCTTGCACTCAAAGCGGGTTTCTTTGGTACCCGACTCGGCACCAAGGCCAAAGTAGCCCCGCACCACTGGCACCTCTTTGGAAGGCGGCCCTGGCATGACAAGCGCTCGCTTGTGGCTCGAAGGCAGCTGGGAGACACATGGCACAGGTACTGTCAGAGGGGCAAATTGTACAATACACGCAAAATGCAACGAAGCAGTGGCCTGGGTGACTGAGCAGAATGGAACCGCAGTGGGCAAAGACCCACAGACTGCCCTCTTCATGAAAGTCAAGAAACATCGATATCCATGTTGGGATCGCCAGTTTTACCCCCGTTAGCGCCTTCTCAGATCTGATGGTCAAATGGATACGTGTCAAAACAACTCTTGGTCCATTCAGAAGAAAAGCCACAATGAAGTTGTGGCCTGGGTCTGTCGCATTTTTATCATGGGCTCAAGTTTATTTGTTGGTGCCCTTTGGCGAACATCATTTACCTGGAGATTTGTCCACCAAACATGTTTGAGACGCCACAGGGGAAACAGGTGACATTTGGGGGGTTCCCATACAGCGCCAAGTGGCTATACATTTGACACTAAAAGGAGCCCCCCCAAAAAAAAAAAACATCGGCCCCAACTTGTTTCTTGGGAGCGCAAAGCATAAGCTACAATGGAAAATGGAGATCAAAAGACTGACTCCTGAATCATCACCTCACCCAAAGGAAACTGACTTGAAAAGGCTCACAAAAGTGGCTTTGAACATCAACGGAAAAAGGGACCTGCTTGGGCTTGTTCTACCCAACCTACGCCAAGGGCACCTCCCCTTGTTAGGCCCCTTTCAAGATTTTCTGTGATTTGGGCTTACCAATCACAGCCCCCCCCCTTCGCCCCTCCGCGCGCGGACGCGTCTCTGGCGCCTGCGGCGGCCGCCGCTTTCTGCGCCTCGGGCAGCGCGAAGGCGCGCGCAGAGGCGGCCAGCGCGGCGCCCCAGGCGCCAGAGCTGCTCGTGCCCAGGCCTCAGCTCTCGCCTTTTTGGGCGCGGCGCCATACTGAGGATGGACGAAATCCTCTTAAACACCACTTTGAAGCCATGGCAAACCATATAATTTGTTGGTCTCTACAGGAGAATCATCATTCCAGGGTTTCTTGGGTGGTGCAGGAATTTGTCCATCTACAGTAGCTCCCCCCTTTTTGGATACCCCTCTTTTGTTTCTCGGAACGTCTCGCGGAAATGTGGGGCATGATTCTTTCATTTCGCTGTTTTTTCTCTTTCGACATGGAAGGCAAAGATTGACGGGTTCTTTGGTGAACGTGGAACCCAAAATCGCTGGTCTCCCCGCAAATGATCTGAAACGGGTTCCTCAGTGTTATTCGTTTGGAGGTTTCAAGCGCTGCCTGATGGAAAGGACAACTTTGGCTTAGGAGCTTCCTGTGGTGTGGTGTTTGAAGAGAACTTGGATGCTTTCTGGAGGTGTTTAAAAATAACTCAAGGGCAAGCCACCCATTGTGGGCGTCCCTATCCTACATATTGACACAGCAGGATGATGTCCACACCACACATGCATGCTGAGGATGAGATTCCAATTTGCTCAGCCGAAACCAAGCTCTTGTCGGCACTCATGGGCATATCTGCCATTCGTGCAACAAGTGCCAGGCAAACAACAAAGAGGATCAAACTTCCAGTCTCTGCTTAACCAGACCCAAAAACCCAAAAGTGGGACGAAATCAAGCCTCGGATACTGTGGATGGACTAAATCCATTTCGCACCACCTAAGAAACCCTAGAATGATGATTCCCCTGTAAATACCATGGTTTCCCATTGTTTTTGAGTGGTGCCCAAGAGGATTTCCTCCATCCACAGTATCAATGAGACCGGTGATCAGCTTTGCCAAAGGGCCGTGGCCCACCAGCGAGAAGGAAGCGTGGCTTTGCAAGGCATCCAGCGCCTTCTCCCTCCAATCGCTCTTCGCCTGGAGCGCTTCTCATTGGACGTGGCTCAAAATTAAACAAGAGGGGCTACACAGGTGTTGGTCCATGTTTCCACTTACCAGGGTTCCATTTTGGTACCGGTTTTTTGAGCCACAGCCATTTGGATTCGAAATGGCGGTGACAAGCGCAGCCTACAAATCACATCGCGGGTCGAAAACTTGGCGCCCGTCCAAGCCGCCAACTCGCCCTGAGGCCGGCACTAGATCAACCACCGGCAGCTCCAACACTTCTGCCGCCCCCAGCACCAGAAGCAACAGGGCGATCAACGCCATGGCTCGAGTCAGAGCACTTCACTCGACTGCGCGACCCGTTCAAACCCGTTGGAAACAAAGCCGTTCAGATCAAAAGTCCCTCAGCAGAGTGCAGGCCCTATGAAGTGGCGATCCTGCGTAAAGTGCGACACGAGGGTATGACGTGTAACCAAGGACCTGTTGGTGTTCATGATTTGCAGGCGGATTTCTCTCCACCTGTCATCGTTAAAGGTGTTCCCCAATAGAAATCATAGCTAATATATTACTAATATCTGATCGTTCAGCTGTGCCACGTGGCATGGGCATCTCTCTTGCGCATCAAAGGTGCTCTGAACATGTCTGCCGTTCGGATGCTCTGATTCTTCTTTGGAAGCTGGATAAGCGCATGCAAGCGAACCGTGGTACATGTATTCCTTGCGACCGCCCTACCAATATAGGACTTTGGGAAGATTCACTTTCTAGTGGTAATAGCAAGTGTACCTGATGTCACTCCTTTTACACTGGGCGGCTCACTTGCTTTCCCACCTCTGCCAAGACCTGCTTCAGCAAGCTTCTTTGCTGCTCACTTCATCCTCAAGTGCTCCACTCACGGCAACGTCTTGGGGCGGTGGCTGTTGTTGTAGTTGCAATAGGTGACCAAGCCAATCCGCCAGCCTGAGGCATAAGGAATTGGTTGCCAAGCACGTGGCATCGAAGCCCGCAATGAGAACTGCCCTTCAGTCCGGTGCTCAAAGGCAACCAACGAAATCAACAAAGGCCATGGTTTGACCCATACCCAAATGCCCCCTTCGGGCCCCTCTCGTCATCCAGCCCGTGCCGAGGAAACAAAAAGTTCAGTTCCGACAATTCAGAATGCACAGCTTTGCCGTCGATTCTGCATGTTGTTGGCTCAGTGTTTTAGAGCTGCTGCTTGCTCAAATCCCTTTTTGATCACCAAACCTCTTCCACGCAGCTGAGCTACTTTTGAGAAGCCTGATTGTGTTTTGTGTTTTGATTTTTTTTGCAAGGGAAACAAAGAATGCCCGAAGAACACCAACATATTTTTGGGAGGGAGCTCCAGACCCCATTTTGAGACACTTCGGCGTGGTTCTCGCTCCAAGTCTCCAGCTGTGATCCCTAAATTCAGCATCCACCTGAGCGAGTTGCTCGTGACTGACTCACGGGCTCCGACCCCAAAAAGCCAAATCCGAACCCCAACCTCGTTCCAAGACCCATCTGACAGTTCAATCCCAACCTCGTTTCAGGACCCATCTGACAGTTCTACCCACCCTTCAGATCTTAAGCCGCTCAGCTGAGGCTCGACCACCTCAGCATGCCCTCGGCCCGCCATCGCATGGAGCTCCTGCAACAAACTCTCTTGAAATCCGCAGTGTTCTTATAGTTCTTGTCATGCATGTTCATTCTTCTTATGACTTTTGGGCTGTCAAACAACCCATTCCAAACTCCCCAAACTGCCAAACTCCCATCGAACACTTGCCCCGAAACTCTCGGCATGGAAGGCAAGCGCAGCCCTGAGCGCCTGAGAGGCTCCCGCAATCCGCTGCATGTCGGTGCGCCTCGGTGGGCCACTTTTAGGCAACCACTACTTGCGGGTATGCTTACATCTCCGCATTCGCTCGGTCAAGCGGGGCATGGCATGCACAGCTGGGCAACAAGCCCGGATATGTTGTTTGTTCTCGACCTTCCTGCTAAGCAAGCCCTCCCCAATCTTCAAAACAGTGCCCAATAAACTGAAACAAAGATGTCGTCCACTGCACTTGGAGGGTTTCGCATCCTTCACGGAGCTTTTTACTCTCCACCTGCCAGCCGGGCAGCGTCAACGTGGGAACCTCGAACATCCATGCCACCTTGCCCTCCAGACCCTCTGGAGGGATGAGACGATGGAGAAGCACTCGGCTCTCTCTAGAACAAGACGTTCGGCAGTCTTCGGAACTGACGTTTATGTTGCCATGCAAGTGCAGCACTTTGCGTCACTGCTCATTGTTATGGCGCCATGTTGATAGTCAGATACAAACATTTGGGACAAGCTTTGACTTGACGTTTTGAAAAAAAGAGCCAAACACGAGCTGCCTAGTCAAACAAACAGGAACCGAAACCATCTCATTCACACGGAATGCTTGATCAGGCCTGATTCTACCCACGTCTCACTTGGGGATCAGACCAGCGCGAGTATCCGAACCAGGCACCAAAGTCGTTGAACTGAAACAGCATGAAGAGCTTGGAGAGGTGCAAGAGCCTCGCAGGCATTGACGTAGTGGCAGGAGTGCTATGTCTGTGTGGCGTGTCGTGGTCGGTCAAAGGAATCCTACAAAAGGGTTTCACCCCAATGCATCCACAACCACCCCTGGCAACCCCAACCAGACCTTTTCTTGGTTTACCACAGCACATAGCTGGTGAACCGTGCCAGCCTCAGGCCACGCTGCACACAGCGGTCGCCCAACAGCTCAACCTCAGGAAAGCTGCCCCTCACCCGGTGAGTATGCGTCAGGGACTGCAAAACTGAGCAGCGTCCTTGTCGTTTCCCTTTGAACCAAGGTGGAAACAGGGTTCCCTCACTAAAACGCCGACCCCCTGTGAAGCAATCCCAGTGAAGTGTTTCATGTGCAAGTCTGGTAGCAGTGGGAACCCTGAAGGCCTACTGTATGCAACAAGGAGCCTTTGATCTGCTCAGACTTGCCGCTCCATTCATGCTTCATGCTACAAAGCGAAGGAAAAGTTGAAGAGGCCTGGGTACCCACAAACCGGTAGTATGACTGATCAAGACTGCTCTTCTATGGCCCGTGCACATGTCGAGGCTAGCTCCTGGCACAGAAAGTGAGTGAGGTTCGCGAGAAGACGAAGGCGAGGGCCTTTCCATTCCCTGCTCTGTGTTTCTTTGCTCAGACACTGTGTCTGATCTCCTTTCCACAGAACATACGTCTCAATGCGCTGTGCCAGGCCAAGGTAACTTGCGCTGTGCTTGTTCTTGGTCACTTCTTTGGGGCGACCAGGGGGCCTGTCTCCTATAAGACGAGAGTGCCTATGCAAATGATGCACTTGACAAAAAGACATACTTCTTGGTGTGCCTGTTTTTTAAGGTACCTATTGTTTGAAGGGAACCAAAGGCACACCACCCTGTTTGGGAGCCGACCCATTTCAAGACCAATCCGTTTGCTCTCCATTGCTCTCCTGCAAGGCTGCGCTAGTGCCCAAGGGGCAACCGAGCGCTACCGTAGGATCAGCCTGAGAAGTGTCGCATGGAGTGAGTGGACGGAGAATGGTCAAGTTCTGCACCGGAAAAAGGAGTGACCCCCTCTAAACAATGGCCAATCACGAACCTAAATCTTCGGATGGATCCGAAGGACCGTACCAATCAGTCTGGCTTTGAGATCCTCTTTGGGGGGAAAGCGATGAGTAGTATGGTGTTATGGGCGAACAAAAACATAATACTAGATTAAATTATCTTTCTCCACCACAGTGCTACGACATGTGAAGACAATGAATTACATCCGCAGGCTCTTGAAGCGCTGAGTGAAAAAACATGCACTGCACGAGACCAACAAAAGCAAACAACCAAACGAAACCTGTTTTTGATTGGGACGCTCTAAAGCAATCTGAAGTGGTGGCAGCACAAGTACCAGGGCATGAGGAACTCTGCCTCAAAGCTTAGCCCCGCACCACCCCAAAGGGAAGCAGAATATCCTGCCGTTCATCAGTTTGCTTGATTCCGGCGCGCAGGAATCGTCATGTGTTAATTGTTCAGGCCATTCGGTAGACAACATGCTGAGGGTCCATCAAAATTCATAGCACAACTACACCAGCATAGACCCCAAACAGATTTGGAGATTTGACCCTCGCGCGTGTCCGGCTCCCGCGCGCGCCGCCCACACAAGCTCCCAACCTCGCTGCTTCATGTGCACCTCCCCCCCCTCCCCGCATGGCAAGATTTCGCTGAACAAACCCGACCTTTGGAAGCAAGAACTCCTGAAGCCAATACTATCTCGGGCAAACGGCGCCCCACAACCACTGGCTCTCGCCTCGAGCCCCTGCCTCCAGTGTGGCGCTCAGCACTTGCAGCCGTTCCGCAGGCGACTGGCGTGCAAAGAAACCGAGCTTTGTTCGGGCCTGCGGCATCCGCAACGACCAGACGCGTTGCTTTTCATGTCACACCTGCGCAAGGTGTATCTGTTCAAACAGAACCGAGGATAAAGACGGGCTGAAACCTTTGACACATGATTGCGGGACCACCTGCTCAGACACGCCTGCTTTTGCTGCAGGTAGGCTGCAAGGTCGTTCCACAGGTTGTCCTAAAGCGCAGCACGCCGGTTGCCAATCATTGCGAAGATTGCAGAAGCAGCCCGCAGCTTGGAGAACTTTCACAAAACTCAACATGGGTGTAGCAAATGCATGTGCCCCCTTCGCGGACTCACACTGCCTGCTCGCGACAACTAAGTTTGCCCTCTACAGGAAGACCCCGGGGTCGCCTCGCCAGTGCCGATGACACAGTCCATCCTGGGCCAACTGAAACAGTGTGAACCGCCAGTGGCACTATGGTTGCAACAGACGTGCACACTTACATGTAGATATATATTATATAATATATGTATATATACACATATACAAATGCTTGTTAAAATCAAAGGCTGTGTGGTGTTTTTGTACACCTGACGCTTGCGCATAAACGCCAAAGCACTGTAGCACTCTTTTGCGTCGGGCTGTTGTATCCACTGCTGTACACAAGAAGCTCAAGGCCTGCAGCCACACCATCGGGTGCGCTGGACTGTTCTACTTTTACACCCCCGCTTGGCGTGTACTATCGCACACGCCGAACAAAATGAAGGCTCCCAAAACTGCACCTCCACGAAAGAAGCACAAGATCTGTAGGCACGCAGCAGCGAGTGACTGGATGCTTGTACTTTTTGCAATGTGTGCATACACGTAAATGTGTGTGTATATATATATATACGTTTACGTTGTGTGATGCGCAATGCTCTCAGAGTCTAGGTACACAAGTGCATTTCACAAGCAACAAACGCATCGTCAGCTTTTGGCTCTTGGGAGCCGCGCCTCTCTATGAAGTACCGGAAAATCCAAACACCATCCTGTAAGCACAGCAACCGCATTTCCAGCTTGCACCAAGCGATGTTGAAAGCCAAGAAGGATCAGGGAGCAATTACCATATGTCCAAGAGTGAAGTCTTGCTTGAACAACTGCATGACCACAATTCAGAAGTTTAAGTAGCTTGAGTCCTTGTCTGGTCTTTGATAGAACCCCACGCACACAAGCAAGCAAGCAAGCAAGCAAGCAAGCAAGCAAGCAAGCAAGCAAGCAAGCAAGCAAGCAAGCAAGCAAGCAGGCAAGCAGGCAGGCAGGCAGGCAGGCAGGCAGGCAGGCAGGCAGGCAGGCAGGCAAAGCAAGCAAAGCAAGCAAGCAAGCAAGCAAGAAAGCAAGCACGCACGCACGCACGCACGCAAGCAAGCAAGCAGGCCAGCAAGCAGGCCAGCAAAGCAAGCAAGCAAGCCAGCCAGCAAGCACGCACGCACGCACGCACGCACGCACGCAAGCAAGCAAGCAAGCAAGCAAGCAAGCAGGCCAGCAAGCAGGCCAGCAAAGCAAGCAAGCAAGCAAGCAAGCAAGCAAGCAAGCAAGCAAGCAAGCTAGCAAGCAAGCATGCAAGCAGGCCAGCAAAGCAAGCAAACGGCAAGCAGGCAGGCAAGCAAGCAAGCAAGCAGGCCAGCAAAGCAAGCAAGCAAGCAGGCAGGCAAGCAAGCAAGCAAGCAGGCAAGCAAGCAAGCAAGCAGGCAGGCAAGCAAGCAGGCAAATGAACAAACAAGCAAGCAAGCAAGCAAGCAAGCAAGCAAGCAAGCAGGCAAGCAAGCAGGCAAATGAACAAACAAGCAAGCAAGCAAGCAAGCAAGCAGGCAGGCAGGCAAGCAAGCAAGCAAGCAAAAGCAGGCAAGTGAACAAACAAGCAGAATCGCTGCGTCTGCCTGCGCTGCGGCGATTTGAACGCATGCCACCGGCCACAGTCGCATGGTGCCAGCACATGATCTGCCAAGGGCCTAGAAAGCCATGGTTGTCTCCACTTTGTGAATATTCCGTCTGTTGCTTGCACAAGCTTTGATCCGACGAAAAGCATACGTGATCCCAATTGGGCAGGGAACTCACTGGGTGACCCGATTCACTACTGGCTTATTTGCGAGGTACCCATGTCCCCTTTACAAACATGGATGATGAAACTTGAGCGTAGCAAAATGCAGCCTGCTATCTGCGCTTCTGAAAGGACAATCATGGTGCTCTTTGGGAAGGTCTTGTTGCTTGTCTCACAGCTCTTAGCTTGCCTGCAAATGGCAACGCCATGCCAAAATGCCAAGTCACTCCAACGGATCTCAGCTTCAACTTCTGGCCCGCTCGCGAACGGCAACTCCTCGCTTGGCGCCTTTTTGCCAGAGTCAAGTTCCCTCGCGCAACCTTCCAGCTTCGGGAAGCCGCGAGCTGAGCACCAGGCTGGCAAGCGTTGCCATGCCGTGGGCTCTAAAAAGGGAGAATGCGAGCAAAGTGGCCCGATAAAAGTCCGACGTGCCTGGTGGCGACCAGGTGAATCCGAATCCAAACAGTTGCGGCGAATTCCTGTCAGCAACTGGGTAGGCTCGTGAAGCAAGAAGCTGCCAAATGCTGTGTCTGTGAATCGGCGTCGTGCCCTTTGCAGCCATCCAGCCCCGGACAGCAAATCATAGAATGATGGCGGCTGGTGATTGATAAGCTGAAACCAGCACCATCGGGTTCAACCAAATTGACCTATAAAAGGGGACGCTATGTTCGAGCACCCTGCCAGATCTTTCGCAGGTCAATTACCTCCATCTGCAGATGGGGCCACCCACCCGGGTTTGACCTACCCGGGACCTGGTTCGTCGCACACAAGAGCCCAAGCAAAATGGGTATCCTTTGCGGCTATTTCAAATAAAAATTCGGGGAAAATGCGACCAATTTCGGGTTCCTCGATTTCAGGAGTCTGCTGTGGTCGTGCCGAGGGTCGATGATTCTTATGAGACCTGATTCAGCAAGTTGCGTCCTAGAATAACAAGCATGTGATGAATGGGCTCTCACGCAAATTGCATGTTATTTGCTCCTAGGCTTACCTCGCAGCCACTGCATTGCCCAATTCCGTGCTTGTTGTCAAACGAATGTGCCTGGTGAACCTGAATGGGAGGCACGGCGTGCCGCCCACTGCATGGGGCTCGTGTGTCGTGCTGAAGGGCTGGGAAACTGGGAACGAAACAACAATTCCAGTGTCTCGCAAATCCCTGCAAGCTGCAAGCTTGTGTCACTCTGCGGCTTCCTGACTTGCCAATGGCCCCTTTCAGGGGCACGGCGTCTCCGACGCCTACAGGCAAAAAAGCCACGCCTCAGTGTGCCTGGCAATGCCAGCAAGATGGGGAGGGCGGTGGGGGGTGCTTCCAGGAAACTGGGATTATTTCCCCCATTCGATAATGACATCTGCCAATCCCTTGCTGAAAAGCAGGTGCTAGTGATGTTCTTGGCGATAGCTGATTCAGGCCAAGGATCATCAACTATCTCGCTAGTCTGCGGGCTACATCATTCTACTGGTCACCTTAAGCACTGGGGGGGGTGGCTGGCGATACCGAACAGTTTAGTTTGCAGGCAGCAGTGTTGACAGGCCTCTTTGTTCTTGGGATGTTGATCGTTCTGGTTTCGTGGTATAACATGTCCGCCGACAATAGACGGAAAGAAAGAAAGAAAGAAAGAAAGAAAGAAAGAAAGAAAGAAAGAAAGAAAGAAAGAAAGAAAGAATCAAAGAAAGAAAGAAGGAACAAAAACTTTGAAAAAAGAGAAAGATGGAAAGGGGCAAAAAGAGAAAAGAGACAGTGAGAAAGAGGGAAAGAGAGAAAGAGAGAAAGCGGGAAAGAGAAAAGGCGAGAAAGAGAAAAACAGAAGCAAAGAAAGGCAGAAAGAAAGGAAGGAAGAAAGAAAGAAAAAAAGAAAGAGAGAGAGAGAGAGAGGAAAGAGAGAGAGAGAGAGATAGAGAGGAAAGAAAGAAAGAAAGAAAGAAAGAAAGAAAGAAAGAAAGAAAGAAAGAAAGACAGAAAGACAGAAAGAAGCATGAAATAGAGAGAGAAAGGAATAAAGAAGAAAGACAGAAAGAAAGACTGAAAGGCAGAGAGGCAGAGCTCTCAGGGCAGAGAGGCAGAGAGGCAGAGAGGCAGACAGGCAGAGAGGCAGATAGGCAGAGAGGCAGAGAAGCAGAGAGGCAGAGAGGCAGAGAGGCAGAGAGGCAGAGCAGAGAGGCAGAGAGGCAGAGCAGAGAGGCAGAGCGGCAGAGCGGCAGAGCGGCAGAGAGGCAGAGAAGCAGAGAGGCAGAGAGGCAGAGAGGCAGAGAGGCAGAGAGGCAGAGAGGCAGGGAGGCAGAGAGGCAGAGAGGCAGAGAGGCAGAGAGGCAGAGAGGCAGAGAGGCAGAGAGGCAGAGAGGCAGACAGGCAGAGAAGCAGAGAGGCAGAGAGGCAGAGAGGCAGAGAGGCAGAGCAGAGAGGCAGAGAGGCAGAGCAGAGAGGCAGAGCGGCAGAGCGGCAGAGCGGCAGAGAGGCAGAGAAGCAGAGAGGCAGAGAGGCAGAGAGGCAGAGAGGCAGAGAGGCAGAGAGGCAGGGAGGCAGAGAGGCAGAGAGGCAGAGAGGCAGAGAGGCAGAGAGGCAGAGAGGCAGAGAGGCAGAGAGGCAGACAGGCAGAGAAGCAGAGAGGCAGAGAGGCAGAGAGGCAGAGAGGCAGAGCAGAGAGGCAGAGAGGCAGAGCAGAGAGGCAGAGCGGCAGAGCGGCAGAGCGGCAGAGAGGCAGAGAAGCAGAGAGGCAGAGAGGCAGAGAGGCAGAGAGGCAGAGAGGCAGAGAGGCAGAGAGGCAGAGAGGCAGAGAGGCAGAGAGGCAGAGAGGCAGAGAGGCAGAGAGGCAGAGAGGCAAAGAGGCAAAGAGGCTGAGAGAGAGAGAGAGAGAAGAGAGAGAGGGAGAGGGAGAGAGAGAGAAAGAGAAAGAGAGACAGACAGACAGACAGACAGACAGACAGACAGACAGACAGACAGACGGACAGACAGACAGACAGACAGACAGACAGACAGACAGACAGACAGACAGGCAGACAGACAGACAGGCAGACAGACAGGCAAACAGACAGGCAGACAGACAGGCATGCAGGCAGGCAGGCAAGCAGACAGACAAACAGACGGACGGACGGACGGACAGGCGGACAGAGACAGAGAAAGAGAAAGAGAAAGAGACTGAGAATGAGAATGAGAAGGAGAAGAACAAGGAGAAGGAGAAGGAGAAGAACAAGGAGAAAGGGCAAGAGAAAGAGAATGAGAAGGAGAAGGAGCAAGAGAAGGAAAAGAACACGGAGAAGGAGAAGGAGAAGGAGAAGGAGAAGAACAAGGAGAATGGGAAAGAGAAAGAGAATGAGAAGGAGAAGAGAAAGAGAAAGAGAAAGAGAAAGAGAAAGAGAAAGAGAAAGAGAAAGAGAAAGAGAAAGAGAAAGAGAAAGAGAAAGAGAAAGAGAAAGAGAAAGAGAAAGAGAAAGAGAAAGAGAAAGAGAAAGAGAAAGAGAAAGAGAAAGAGAAAGAGAAAGAGAAAGAGAAAGAGAAAGAGAAAGAGAAAGAGAAAGAAAGAAAGGGAAAGGGAAAGGGAAAGGGAAAGGGAAAGGGAAAGGGAAAGGGAAAGGGAAAGGGAAAGGGAAAGGGAAAGGGAAAGGGAAAGGGAAAGGGAAAGGGAAAGGGAAAGGGAGTGAGAGAGACATAGAGGAGAGAGGCAGAGAGGCAGAGAGACAGAGAGACAGACAGACAGAGAAACAGAAAACAAACAAACTCGTCCGCCTGCTCTGACTTTTGCCGATTTGCCTCAGTCCAATTCTCGTGATTCGCCGGGGTCGGAGTTGAAGCAGCAGCGCAACCACTCGCACAGGCGCCTTGAAGCGTAGTGTGGTATGAATGCCTGTCGTGAATGTACAAAAGTGTGTGCACGCTTCAGTGGAAATTGAAACTGTACCGTGCATTAGCAAGACCCTGACTGTCTCCAAGTGAATTTACAGTTTGGGGCTTGGGCAATTGCACAGATGCCAAGCTCGCCGCTGGCGCGCTGGGCGGTACAGCGTGCGACGCAGCCGACCTGTAAAGCAAGCTGCATGGAGCTGCTACATGACCCCTGGAGAGATTCCAAAAAGGACATGCGACAATGCCCCCTATATCCTGCTCCAGTCAACAGCGTTCACTTATATGCCGAATTGCAAGGAACAACAACGGTGAAGACATTGGCTGTACAGACAAACGACCGGCATCCAAGTTCAGAGATCTACACCAAAATGATGCCCATAAAATCGTGTTGCCGGACGCCCCCCCACCCCCCACTGCCTGCTTGTGCTTGTTGCCTCCAAGCCTTGAGGATTCTTGCTGGCGTGGCTCCTAGGCTCGCGCACTATCGGCGTCAGTGCCAAATGACACGCCCCAGTCACTTCTAAACCGGCTTGATCGCCTTGCAGGCTCAATTCAGCAACTTAGGTTTTGAGAAGGATGCGCACAAGTAGGTTCGGTTGTGCATAAGCCACTGGCAAGGAGTATTCCAGGATTCATTCCAACAAGTCCGCGCCAAGAATCGGTTCGCTGCCAGGGTGGTCACAGCTGCCTCGAGGCCTCCATGTAGGGCAAGACGGCTGATCTCCTCAATGGTCTCGTCCTGAAAAGAAACGACGGCCTTCTCCCTACGCGAAAGCCTTGGGGATTGTCGGCTTGTGTTCGGCGAAGCTTGAAAGGTTGGCAAACTTGAACACAGCAAAAGCTTCAAGCTCCTCGTGCCAAACATCATCCAGGATTTGCCCCTCCTTTCCTGGCACGGGACAAACAGCTCCTGCGTTCTTTTCAGGCACACGCGTGGTGTATCCGAGTCAGAAGCCCTGATGGCATTTCAAGAGGACTCGACTTTTTACAAATGCTTCCCCAATGTTCTGAGGTGGCTTGCCTGGCTCAAAGTACTGAAGCGAATCAAACACAACATGCTTTTGTGACAGTGAGGAGCAATGTCTCCCAACGGCTGGAAGCTGTCGTGAGGTGCCGCCAAACTGAACGCATAGCCATGTGACGCGTGCCTGTGCGAAGCGCGCGGAGGGCATAAAGCCGTGCATAGAGCCGGATGTCCTTCAGCATGGAGCTGTTCGTGATGACCTCAGCTTTTCCAACACCCTGCAGGAGGTATCATGAAAAGCCACATCCAGGTGGAGGAAACCTCTGAATCCCAGTGCTTCAACTTCTGATTGGCCAAAACTGGTGGAAACATCGAAACGAACAACATAGAGCCGAACCCGGACCCTCGTCCCTCCCCCGCCTCGCGGAAAGGCTCCACCTGCACAAACAGCAGGTCCGTGACGACGCTGTCCCCGAACAAGCGGCCCCGGTGATTCCACAGAAGCCACATGGCCACCTGCAACTTGACTCGCAAACGGACGTGCCAAACCCGCCCACTCTAAACCGAACCCACCTGAACCAACCTTAAGCCCGCCCAAAACCCAACATAAACCAAACTTAGGTGTATATATATATATATATATTTATATATATATATGTATGATTTGTCATTTTTCCTTCCCCCCCCCCTCGCAGGAACCTACCTTTGGTTGCCTCTCCAGTGCATGGTTTGCCCATCTAGGACTGGAAGGAAAACTTCCTGTGTAATGTCCTTTATACTGTCTAATTGTTGAAGTATCTCTCATCTAGGACCAGACTAGGACTAGACTCTTTAACTCTACGTCTTATAGTAGTTGGATGTCAAGTATTACATTGCCTTGGAAAGAAAGTCTTGTGAAATACTTGGTTCGAAACAAATTAGCCAATATCTTATATTCCAGCCTAACATGTAAATTATGACTGGATGGTGTCCCTATTTAAAAATATACTGTTCAGTTAGTTGTTGCATAGAACTTGATAAAATTATTGAATAGAACTCATAAAGAACTTCCTTTGTAATGTCCTTTATACGTTATATTTATTTCAGTCAGCTAGGACCATAAGGCCTAGAACCAAGGATCTTCCAAGTAGGACTAGGACGAAACCAGGACTAGACCATCGACCAGAACTTTGAATTTCAAGTACAATGTTCTAGCAGTATTTAAGTTCGAATTGAAATCAAATTCTGACTCGAGTATGTCCTTCTTAAGCTCTATTTAATTTCAAATAGAAATTGGGTCAAGTTTGATAAGCATAAGGAAATAATTCAATTATCCCAAACTTGTGTCTCTTCACTAGTCCTAGCACTACCTTGGTCAGGAAACACCGTAAAACATAGTGGTCTGTAGCGTGATTCATACTCAATTCACATCTCCACCAACGACCGCTCTCTAACTGCTCATTTGAACAGGATTTCATTGGGACTCAGTACGGACATATTTGTTCAGAATCCTAATGGGAATCAAATCTGACATACATAATTTTAGTAGAATCCCTTTCCCAATATATTCTTTCAATTCAATTCGAGCTTTAACAAAACTTGATAAGGAAAGAATCCAAGCCTGTAGTTAACATTGAAGGTTCCATATTCTCTAGACAAGTCGTCTTTGCAAGCCCGAGCCCAAGCCTGAGTGAAACCGCTCGAAACCGACTGAAATTACAGTCGAGCCTGGACTCAAGATCTGATAGAAAAGTTTGGCCTACAATCTTGAATGTGGGCCTAGATTGAAACAGATTGAATGAATGATCAGGCCTTGGATGCTTGCACAACACTTTGCCAAAACCGCGCAAAATGCAATGTCGAATTTAGGTATCGATTTAAACCGATTTAAACTGATTTACATTAAATCGGGCCTGGATTCAAGATTCAGGATTCAAGATTCCAGGCCAAACTTTTTTCCCAGGGAATCTTGAATCCAGGCCTCGATTTGATCCGATTTAAGCCGATTCAAACTTAAGTCGGGCGTGGATTCAAGATTCAAGATTCAAGAATCCAGGCCAAGCTTTTCCAGGAAATCGTGAATCTTCAATCCAGGCCCGATTTAAGTTTGAATCGGTTTAAATCGGTTTAATTCGGCTTAAATCGAGGCCTGGATTTAAGATTGCCTGGAAAAGTGTGGCCTGGAATCTTGAATCTTGAATCCACGCTCGACAAAAATCTAAAAGGGTAAATCGGTTTAAATCGAGCCTGAAGCTTCCAGAATGTCCTTGGAAATGCGTCCCAAAGAAGGGTGCAGTGAATTCTTCAAAAAGGTAGGTCCTTGGGGGGGGGAACCATACATATATATGAGCCCATCTGAATCCCACCCTAAACCCCACCTTCAACCAACACTGATCCCTTGCATCTGTTTGGAACCCGTCACAGAGGTTGCCAGACCGCATCTTGTGCCAGTCTGACTCTTTTGAACCACCTGTCCTTGCCTCGCACAGGCCCTGTCTACAATTGGCGGTTGGCAGTAATGGGGCGCATGTCCCATTCACCATAAAGGACTAGAGTCTGCAATAGTGAGAAATGCTGCAATTATTTTTTATTTATTTTTTTTTATATAAAAAAAAAAAGAAAAAAAAAAAAAGAAAGCGAATGGCCAAGACCATACAAATGGACAGTCCAGTAGGTTTCAAAACAAACACATGCCAGGACCAACAAATGATGGCCAGGTAAACCGGGAAAAAACGAGGCCGAATGAAGGCGCCATTGCGGATCCCTGATTTCACATCCTCAACTTCTGGTGAATCAGAATCTGGGAGAGGGTTTGGGCCATCCTCCGCCTCGAGGAGTCGTGGTCCATCCTCAGCATTACCTAAAAGCCATGGTTTGAACCGCCGAAAGTGAGGCCATTCCCGAGCCATCTACCCCACAAACCCCCAACCCAGCCTCACACACGACGCGACCTGTCATCAGGAAGCAGCATTGGCGATGGCCAGCATCTGCGCCATCTGCCATACGCATCCACTCCTGCGTAAGATTTGGTCTTGGGCTCTATCAGAATCTGTTTTTGAACCAAGCCAGGGCTGTGACGGAAGGGTCAATAAAGTAATATGGGTCCTCTTGCTCCCGCCTCAAAAAAACATGGTTAGGAGTTGTACGTGCGCCTCGCTGCAAAGCAGTCCTGAGAGTCAGTAGGGTCGAACACATCATCATCCATGCCGTATATGTATCCCAGCTTGCCGTGGCAAATGAAGTACATGCCGTAGCCTGGGACGTTGCGCCAGTTGAGGAGTCACTGCTTCATGTTTGTTCAACGCATATTGCGACGTGTCCTTATCATGTCGCACCCGACCCCTGCCTTCGTCCCCAGCCGCAAACACTTCGTGACCCTTGTCCACAATCTTCTCGCAAATGCACGTGTTGCATATTTTGCCGAAGATGTCTCGCTCTTCTTCGTAGATGTACTGATAAAGGCTATGCTTTCCAATCGCCTGGCATCTCGAGAGTCGGAAAAGCCAGACTTGGGTGGCAAGCCCTGAGCTAGAGTTGCGGAAAACATTTTGCATCGCTTTAAAGCGGCCATACTCACTACATCTGTCCGTTGCAAAGGAGGTTCCCTTGGGGGCAATGAAAGCACGGCGTGTTGCCAAATGTGATGACAGTGAGCCCCTCATCCCAACCAACAAGGCATCCTATCGCCCGTCAGCCGGGCAGGCAGCACCCCACGCAGCTGGGCAGCCAGGAGTGCTTCGTAAACGTCACGCGCTGCGCTGGGCGAACGGCTTTGGCCGGCTACAAGCGCCTCAGCCCTCACAATCTGTGGAGCTGGCTGGCGGGAGGCTTGCCGTTCGGCGCGGCTGCGCGCAAATCAAGCGCCAAGCTGCAGCGAGACTCAACCCAACCCGGCTCCCAACCCAACCCAAAGCATAACCCCAGCACAGCACAGCTCTGCCACAGCCAGCTGCAGCGCAGTCCTTCTCATTCCACCCAGCGCGTTGGCTGGCCCCGTCGCTCGAGTTCAAGTTCCTGGCAATCACTTTGCACTGCAGCGGCTCAGCCCAGCGGCTCAGCCCAGCCCCGGCATCAAGCCCGCGTTGCTTTTGTGGCTCTTAACAGCAATGTTAGTGGTGAACGCAAATTGGGAAAATATGTAGGTATGACAGAAAGGAAGCGTAATATATATATATATATATATAGCCACAACAATCATGTGCTTATTATGTTTAAGCTCTATCCCACCTCAGTTAATAGTGTTGTTGCAACTACTAAAAGGCACAGGTACCTTGAGACAAACTCGGAATGACCAACTTGCTGCTAAATCCAAATCTGAAATTACAGTATAACACAACAAAACGAAATTAAACGAGAATTGTTTCATAACACGTCTGTCCCTACCATGCTTGCCATAGGTTATATAAGGAAATTGAAAAAGGAACTGGGCGATGCGGCAGCACACAACATTTACAATTCTGACACGTCAACTCTTAATGATGCCACGTCACAGAATGATATGTCTCGCTTCTGATCTTGTGAATGAGGACCTGAAGCATTCGTAGGCAAAGCTGGGCATATACAACTGAAGAGAGTGTCCAAAACGCAAGTAGGACTGGAACTAACTGGGCAATTGTTGCCAAGAAGGAATAGCACATGGGAGACTGCCTTGAAGTTTCAAACATCCAAACTTGGCTTGGCCAAGCAAAGTCAACATCAACGAATCGATTGGCAGCCACGCTCACTCTCTCTCCTCTCTCTCACAAACAGCCTGGGCTCGGATTAGGGCTGCGGCAGTTGGGAAGTTGCTGAACATATCAATGTCGTCAATCTGGCGACGCAAGGGCTTTCATTGACATCAACACGCCTCTCATATCAAGCATCAACGGCATGACACCAAAACGGGCAAAAGGAATACAATTACCTTCAATGCGATCGCCCTCGAAATGTGAGCTTTGAGCGCTGAGGCAGGGCGGCCTACTGTCGACTCAGAAAGGCTTAAAGTTTAAGTAAAAGGCTCAAGACAGATGCCCGGCGAAGCAAAATCCCTGCCTTCAACGGCCTCTGCAGTTGGGGCCCACGCTTCTGCCTGACAGCGAAGGGCAAACCGCAAGGCCTGGCTGGAACCGTTGCTGGATGTTGATCCTGTGCGCGAGTGTGTTCATGCCTGTTTGGAAACTTTCTACTTGGAAGCGAGCAAGCGAACATGTATAGCAGGCAACATTAAGCAAACCAAAACAAAGCACAACAGAATAGGTCATGAAAAGACAAGCGAAGGGTAATAGAAAGGAGCGCGCTTCTTGCATGCTTCTCGTGGCAGTGCTGCCAACAGCTGACCCATGTAGTGGCAAAGCACGTGTGCGCTTCTGGTTTTGCATGCCAAGTTTGGGCGACCCTAAATGGGTGCTGACAATGTCCTTTCGTGCAAGCTGGAATTCACTTATTACCCCTCATTTAGGGTCCCCAGACAAATTATCCACCCTCCGCCTGACAAACTCCACAATGGTGGTTGCCAATGCCACCGACATGTGATGCTCGGAGATGAACCGGCGCAGAATCGACATGCGATGGCCTCAGGGCTGTGTGACCAGCTACAATCACAGATCGACCGTGGGGTAATGTGTGTGTGTGTGTGTCTGATAGTCAAAGGCACCTGGAAAGAAAGTCTAGACTCAATGTAAACAGTGTGAGTCGTCTCTGTATGTGCTTGGTGTGCTTCTGTTTGTGTATATGTGTTCGCGTATGTACGAACATGTTCGTATGCATATGTACAGCTCTGGGTATGATCCCGGAACCTTTGTCCACTCGTATGGTTCCCCCCCAAAAACATAAGCTCAAGTGATATCCCCAACAGCACCACGCTCGACCTCGTGGAACCCTCTTAGGAAGCGTTTCTTGCGTCTTTGGAACGCTGGTGGAATCCTCGTGGAATCCTCACGGAACCACCCTGGACCTGTGCGTCCCCGCAACCCTCGCGGAACCTCCGGAACCTTGCTTGAACCTTTCGCCTGCGCCTGGTGGCCCCGCAAACTCCGGAACCTTCCCTTAGACCTGGCCTGCACGACCCGGAACCTCAGGAACGGGAACCTTCAAGGAAACCTTGCACCTTGCACCGAACCTCCGGAACCGTGCTCGAACCTGGCTCCAGAGCTCCCCCGAGCCCCCAAACCTTATCTGGGCTGAGACCCCTTAGCTTTCAGCTGTTGGGAAAAAAACAAAAAGAAAAAGGCAATACACGAATAGTAAATAGAACAAGGTTTCTCATGGGCGGAGATAGAGGATTGAGGGAGGATGGTTCATATTGACGCTTAATCTATCTTCGCCCATGTTATGATTTGACGCCGATCGATGTTGAAGTGGTATTTGTTTCAATAGTTACTGGTTTTTGTTCCCCGATGCGGTAACGTGCTTATCCGTATTCAATTAGAAATCTACAACTGGTAGATTTGTTGTTTTGTTGTCCCTTCCCTGTTTCGTAGAATGACAAAGATGATCTATGAGAATACATGTTTGTCAATGATTTAGTCGCATCATGCATTGACATAATACGTTTAGATGCTCTCCTGCCTCTGCTATTCCTGTCTTTGGTTTCTCCTCCGTCAAAGAGAACAGGCTGTCTCTATGACGTTGCGTTCGTTCGTGAATGCTTTATTATGTCGGACAGTCATAATTTTGACAGGGTCATGCGTTTGTTCATGCGATTGTTCGTTTTCCGCGTTTGTGTTCCTCCGCATCCTCTACATTCCTTTATCTGTTAAGTGGTTGGTTGCTGAACTTGCTTTTCCATTGTTGTACTTCAAATAGGATTAAGATATTGCTCATTTCCATCTTATGTGCAAGGGTCATGCTTATGATGTATGGAATCAGGTATACGTGTTGGCATTGGCCGTATCAATGCATTTGCTATGCTTCACAGTTAGGGTTTACAGTTCCTTCTCGTCTAACTATGAGCTTGTAGTCACAAGTCTGGTGACTGAAGGAGTTGTAGTCACAAAAGCCCGTGACAAGCCATGACGACAACCCGTGACAAGTCATCACGAAGGCGTTATATTTCACTCATATCCTTGTTTGTTTTTTGTCAGGGTTTGCAACAACCCGTTTTCAATGTTTCAACTCAGCCACACACAACCCAAACCCACAACACAAACCCCCACGTAGATACATTATTGCAGGGGGCTTCAGGTAGATTATGTTTCATCCGGTAATGAAAGGTAACATTAAACATGGGAAGCAACTACAATAAATGATCATAAACATACGATTTTCACAGCAAGACAACCAATTTCAACATATTTGACAGGGTGCACTGGCGTAAGGGTCTGACCGGCCCTTGGGAGGAAGGTTCAAGGGAATCGCCTCACGCTCCGCATCAAGGCTTCCGACTACAAGGATGACAGGGTTGTGCACGTGACCCTTGGCAGCTGCAACTGGACGACGAGCAGCCGAGCGAACACCGAGACCGGCATCTACATTTGCAGCAAGGCTGGAGAGGAGTTCTTCAAGGACTGGTTGGCAAACTTTCACCAGATCTACGAGCACGGCTCCAGCTTGTAAATGCTCAGCAATCCAGGAAGGCCAGGACCAAGCAGGCCCCCGGACTGGAGACAGACTGAGGAGCAGTGAATCGCGCACGGTTTGCCGATGCACGCATGCCAGCTTGATTTCTGAGAGCAGCGAAGGTTCTTCTCTTTTGGCTGACTGCTAGTCGGCATCCCCTCCAACGTTTGGCGTCCACTTGGTTGGCAATGCCGACTGGGGCCGGCTGTGAGTATAACTGCGCTTGCTGGGTTACCCAGAAGGACAAGAGGAATTCAGCACAGCATGAGGTCCCCGGAATTGCTGGTTTGCATGATCGCCACTGTGCATAGTTCATACCCTTGACACAGCCAACGACGTGCCTTGATTGTGTACATTTTGGCTCAAGTGAGCATTGCGCACGGCTTTTAAGCCTCTGCCCAGGCACGCCAGGTGCTGAGCTAGCGCTGCTTAGGGTCGAGTGTGACGAAGGACCAACCTTCCTTACTGTATGTATGGATGGATGGAAGGATAGATGGATGTGAATGCTTGTATGTGTGTATGTATGTGTGTATGTATGTACGTACGTACGAGTGTAATGTATAATGTATGTGTGTGTGTGTATGTATGTATGTATGTACGTACGTACGTATGTCTGTATGTATGTATGTATGTACGTGTATGTGTATGTGTATATGTGTATGTGTATGTGTATGCGTCCGCGTACGCGTAGGTGTACGTGTACGTGTACGTATGTACGTACGTACGTACGTACGTACGTATGTATGTATGTATGTATGTATGTATGTATGTATGTATGTATGTATGTATGTATGTATGTGTGTATGTATCTATCTATCTATCTATCTATCTATCTATCTATCTATCTATCTATCTATCTATCTATCTATCTATCTATCTATCTATCTATCTATCTATGTGTGTGCGTATGTATGCATGCATGCATGCATGCATGTATGTATGTATGAATGTATGAATGCATGTACGTATGTATGTATGTATGTATGTATGTATGTATGTATCTATGTATATATCTGTACAACTATAATTATATGTATCTATGTATCTATGTACCCAAGTATCTATGCACCTATGTATGCATGTATGAACGCATGTATATAGGTATGTATGTATGTATGTATGTATGTATGTATGTATGTACGTACGTGCATACGTTTGTATGTATCTGGGCTTGTAAGAAAGTATGTAGGTAGGTAATTGTGTAAGCAATGTATGTATGGTATGTAATGTAAAATATTTCAGTAATATAATGTAATACAATGCCCTGTAGTGCAAGGGAATACATGTGTGTTGTGTGTATGTATGTGTGTGTGTGTATGTATGCATATGTATGCATAATATGTATGCGTACGTATGCGTTTTTTTGTGTATGTAAGTCATCAATGTGTATGTGAGTGTATGTCTATGCCTGTGAATAAATGAATAAATGAATAAATCAATGAATGAATGAATGAATGAATGAATGAATGAATGAATGAATGAATGAACACATGAACACATGAACACATGAACGAACGAACGAACGAACGAACGAACGAATGAATGAATGAATGAATGAATGAATGCATGAACGAACGAACGTATGAACGAACGAACGAACAAGCAAACGAATCAATAAATGAAAGCATGAATGCATGAATGCATCAATGAATGAATGCATGGACTCGTGAATACATGAATGCATGATTGTATCAATGAATCAATCATTCATGCATGAATGAATGAATGAAGAAGGAAGGAAGGAAGGAAAGAAGGAGTGAAGGAATGCATGAACCAATGAATTCATGGACTCATGAATGCATGAATGCATGAATGCATCAATGAATGAATGCATGGATTCATGAATGCATGAATGTATCAATGAATGAATTAATGAATGAATGACTGACTGAATGAATGAATGAAGGAATGAATGAATGAATGAATGAATGAAGGAATGAAGGAATGAAGGAATGAAGGAATGAAGGAATGAAGGAATGAAGGAATGAAGGAATACAGGAATACAGCATGAATGAATGAATGAATGAATGAATGAATGAATGAATGAATGAATGAATGAATGAATGAATGAATGAATGAATGAATGAATGAATGAATGACTGAATGAGTGAATGAATGAATGAATGAATGAATGAATGAATGAATGAATGAATGAATGAATGCATGCATGCAAATGAATGAATGAATGAATGAATGAATGAATGAATGAATGAATGAATGAATGAATGAATGAATGAATGCATGCATGCATGCATGCATGCATGCATGCAAATTGGTTCATTGATTCATTGATTCATTGATTCATTAATTCATTAAGCCATTGATCCGTTCATTTGTTCAGTCATTCATGCATGCATGCATGCATGAATGACTGAACAAATGAATGGATCAATGGCTTAATGAATCAATGAATCAATGAACCAATGAATCAATCATGAGTCAATGAGTCAATAGTCAATGAATCAGCGAAACAATAGAGCAATGAATCAACGAATGAATGGGTGGGTGGGTGGGTGGGTGGGTGGGTGGGTGGGTGGATGGGTGGGTGGGTGGGTGGGTGGGTGGATGGATGGATGGATGGATGGATGTCTGCTCCAGGATGCAATGGATATTCTCGCATCTCTGGATGGACGGACGGACGGATGGATGGATGTATGAATGAACAAATCAACGAACGCACGAATGACCGAATGAATGTGTGTATGTCCGAAGCGTGTGTATGTGCGTAGGTATGTAAGTGGATGTCTGTATATAACTGTGCATATGTATGTAGGTAGGTATGTTTGTACGTACATGCGAATGTATGAGGTATGTGTGTCGTGTCTGGGTTTGGTCAGTGAGCTAAAGCTGAGGCCCTTGCGGTGCTCGCGACTGAGCTGCTGCAGGGCGTGGAGCTGCTGCGCCATGGAGCTGATGAAGGAGGAGAAGACGCAGAGCCTCCAATGACCCAACCCAAACTCCTGGATACATGGGTGTGGGTCAAAATTAAGCCAGGGGACCAGGTTTTGGTTCATGTTTCCACTTACCAGGGCAACCCACTTTGGATACATATGTTGACCCACAGCCACATAGAGGACCTATCATAGGGGACACCCCATCCTTTACCTTGAAAAGAAGGGTCTGAACTTTGAGGTTGTTGAGGGTGCCCTTTTGGGGTTCGTGGAAGGGGAACCAGGAGAATGACAAACTTGGGGGTGCCGCCGTTCGTGACCAAATGAGCCACGTTCTAATATGGGAAATGAGTCCATAGGTGACTTTGAATTCGGCACGCTCTGGTGGACATCAACCATCGTGGAAAGCTTGTCAAACATTGCCGAAAAGGTGACTCTTCAATTACTCGGAAAATCCAACCATGTTGAGGGTGCATAAAGCCAACATGCCCCTTCGTTCGGCCCGTAGGGAGGAGACCAGAAACTGCCCCAGGGCTCCGACCCAAATAAGATCACCGCGATGTTAAAGATCCGCTCGCGCGAGGAATACGGATAAATCTCCATGGACGCAGGGGTCAGCTGCGTGATTGACCAATGGTAGGCCTCAGAAACCAAGCCGTCAGGATTTTTTAACGGTCTAAGGTAGAATGTTTCAATCGCGTGAAATGAGGGATCCCCCACAGAAGGAATCGGGGGCGGCCGCAGCCCCGGTAGGTGAGGAGCTCACATAAGGACTGCCGGGAAGCTGTTGTGTAGAGGTACAGCAAGTCGTCAGGTCTTTGCTGATCCTTGAAATGCACGTTGACCCAGTTGTTGTCATCCTCACATCACTTGACATCGGGGAGCGTGACGAATGTCGCACAAAGACAACCACTTCTAGACTGTAGATTGTAGACTCTCGCATGGAAAAGGCCTCAAGTCTACTTCGTGCTACGTTCTTGGATCCGACAAACATGCATGACAGCCACTAGTCCTCCATCAAGGTGGCAATGGCATACCAGCAGCACGCCTCAGGTTTCAGGCCAGGAACACTCACGGGAAGAGCCGGCAGACTGGACAACGGGAAGACCATCGGACGAGGAGGAGTAAGAGGAGGAGGACTGTTGCAGTGTGTTTGTCCAGTAGATGCAAAACCCTGTTTTGCAAGAGATGTCAAAAACATGATCTTAGAGCAACGGGCCAAATGTGCAAGCAATAGTCGCACAGTAGCCACATGTTTGCCTTACCAACTAAGGCTCTTGATGGAACAAATGCGTCTGAACTCTCCTCCATGGCGAGGCAACTACATGTGCAAGCATGCACCTACAAAGAAGCATTCTCAAGCTACCCGGGATCTCCTGGCTTGCCTTGCAGTCAAGGCTCTGTGAAGTGATTGATCACTGTTATCACCATGAGGCTCTTCACAATGTTGAGGATTAAAAACCCGCGATCTGTGATTCTCCTCAGATCGCAACGCTTCGGCCAGCAGGTCAGCAAACGAGTGGATGCGCAAGCATGCTTGGCTCCACATCAAGTCGCTGTGTCTGAAGGATGTGCAGCAGCTGCGCGAGGACTGCGATACGAGCCTTGCAAGGAACTGCCAAGCAAGCCCGACCCCTAGTTTTGGGCACATTCATTAGACGGTGATTCTGGGGTGTCAATTCGCAGACTGGAGTCCTGAGCGAGTTCTAACAAACGGGTTCCGATTGCTTGCAGCTTGCAGCAAAGGACAATCATGATCGAAGACATCTGTGGCTCAAACTGAAAGAACTGGGGAAACGGCAGGTTTTTGTCTTTCGCTTCATTTACCAAGGGGCCATTTGGGCACATTTGAGCCACACCCCTTTGCCCCATGCGGGTCGGGCTGGAAGCTTCGGGCACGCCTTGACCTTCGCTATGCGGAGCACCCGAAGGAGCCGGAAGAGCCGCACGGCGCGAAGGAAGCCCACGTACCGCATCCAGGCGGTGTCCTCCATCACGAAGATGAACATGTCCTCAGCTGAGTTTCAAAAGACATGGGAACTTCGCCTTTTGATTGTGGAAG